CCAACGCAGCTGCCCGGCGCAGGTGCAGGCAGCGGCCGTGCACTGCAGCAGCAAACGCGAGCGTGGGCACAAACTTCGCACCACCATCAGCCACGACAGCACGCCAAGTCTCAAAAACAACGTCCTGCACCGCCGAGGGAGCCAGCAGGTACGCGCCAGCGGTGCGTCCGTCCGCCAGCATCTTCGCAATGAACTTCGCGGTGTCTCGTATCGGCGAGCCAAACACAATCACAGCCTGCGTCTAAGTCACAGCAAACTGCTCCCACGCAGCATCGAACTCCTTCGGGTCGGCCCCACCTAGCCCAGCACCCTGCACAGCGAAGACGCCGCTCAGCTCGTAGCCCACCTCCGACATCACACGCCCTGCCTGCTCGCACTCGCTGTCGCCAAAAAAGGATATTCCGCGGGTACGTGAAGCCCATCCGAAGCACCCGCAGCCGAGCCACGGCAAAGCGTGCAAGTGCCGGCGGCTCCGTCGCAGGATCAGCACACAAAAAGTACATGTTGGGGTTCCACCCACGCACCGCACTCAACGCTGTCAACGGGGCAAAAGCCACAACGTCAAAGCGACGCAATACCGGCAGCACAGTATTCAAGTACGTGTCGCCGAACTGAGTCAAAAGAGCGAGAGTACCGTTCTCCTTCTGCATCGCATCCCCCAAGACGGTAACAAATTCGCTCTTCTTCGCCTCCCTTTTGACAAGTTCAACGCAAACATCGCCCGCAGCAACAGAGCTGCGTGCCCACAGCTAGGCATTTACGCCGGTGCAAACGCAGCAGAGGGCCGCAAGCCCAACCGCGCGCAGCTGCCTCGCCGCCCCCCAACGCACCGCCATACCCGCTGCCTTGCGACTGTCTTGCTGTGTGGCCTGTGGATTACTACAGCAGAGAAAAAGGGAGGGAAAAATGACGGACACTCTGCAGAAAAAGCAGAAAAGGGGCGGAGCGAGCGCCGGTGAGAGTGCACGGCCGCACGCGCAGCCGCCAATGCACTCGGCGCAAAGGAAAGCAACGGATGCGACAAGGACAAAAGTTGTACGGAAAAGAACCTCTGTGGAGCAAAGCGACAACAACACCCGCCCTCTCTCAGGAGCAGATGCCAAGGAGAAGACGCACTTCCACATGCCACGCGCGCCCCTTCACGGCCGTTCGCCAATGCGAGCCTGTGCTCGCGAAGCATAACGCAGATGACTACGAGCCTTCACGCGCCCGCGTTCTCTTGCCCCTTCCATTCACACGCGGCCTATGATCCATGATCCTGCCTTTCATTAATCCACCCATCACCCCCTGGAAGCGGCGGGCTGCCGCGTGCCGGGTGCCCTCCGCCAGCGGGTTTCTCCCCGCTGCGGCCAACTGCCCTAGCACCTTCCGTCTGCCTCCTTTCGCAAAAAGGCGGGGGTCCTCCCTTTGCGGGCAAAGGGTTGTCCCGGAAGGCTTCCTCCGACCCCTTTTTCGGCCCACGTTTGGCCCCGCAAGGGCGTTTCATCGCCGCGTAAGGGAAGGTGCACCCCCCCCCCCCCCCCAGACCGCCGGCCAGCGCACCGCAGTGGGAGCGCTCCGCCCCTCCCTTCGTCCTGTGGTGAGCCGGCGCACGGGGGCAGGGGTCCCTTCCTCGCCAAATCCTCGTTCTCACGGCTGCGGGGCCGCCGTGTCCGGGCGGGCGCCGAGCCCATGCGATCGCACCGACACCCCGTGGGTCTGCGGGCTCTGCGCAGTCGTGGCCTTCCTACTCGCTGCCCCCGCAGACCTCGCAACACGGCCCAGCGCCTGCGCGAGCACTGTGGAAGAACTTGTGCGCAGGGTGGTGGGAAGGCGGGTGGCATCCGCGACCATTCAGACCGCGCAAGGTTCGGAATGCGTTGGTGGGGTGGCGCTCCATAGCTACCTGGGGGGGCCGAGGTGTTCTGGGCTGTGCTTGCCGTTCCGTAGCTCCGCGGCGTCGGCCTCGCGCGGGCAAGAACAGGCCCCATGCGAATGCCACAACGACCACACACGCCTTCAGTTCCACGGGGACAAGTGTGAAGCAAGCGCTGGAGAGGCGCTCCAATGCCACAGTTCAAT